CATAAAAAGCCCTTTTGGTCGTGATCCTAACCACCTTTAAAAAATTCAAAACAATTTTCACGGTGTCTTGTTTTTGGTCTAATTTCAAGCTAATAAGGTGACCGGGTACGCTTACAATAGCTTATTGAGGTTTAATTTTAGAATTGAAAACCTAGTTTTATTCAAGTAAAGAAAGATTTTGGAGTTTTTTAGCATAATTTTTAGAATCAAAAACATGAAAATTCAAAAAATTTCCTCAAAATAAACTTGAAAAAACGTTTGAATTTTTTAAGAATTTTTAAAATGTTCTGTTTGTTTTTCTGGTGCTCAAAAACTGTTTTCCAAGATTACATATTTTACTTGAACTCCCAAACATGCCTAAATTCTATTGTTTTGCTCAGATATTATTATCACCTTATGCAGAAAAAAAACGACACGAATTTGAAAAAAATTGTCGTGTTTTTTTGAGACTGTAGTCGGAACATCCTGTGTTACGTGCACTGTAATTAAGTGTTCTTGTTTAATTTTTGATTTGATTGATTTTCTTAATTGCGATTAACATCTGCTATCAAATCAAGTTCTAGGTTTTTGTTGGCAACTTCTCTCACCGCACATTCCGCAGTTACCACAGTTTGTAAGTGACTTTAAAAAATTTTCTGCGTTATTCGATGTTTCTGGCCCTTGCCAAAAAAGCGATGAAAAGTATGATCAGCATGATAATAATCAATTGTTTTCCGGCAATTTCATTGTGGGTAGTTCAAAACTTTACAAGCAGTCCAACAATTTTACTGCCATTTTACTGCCCATTTGTACATTAGTTCTTACAAAATCGCAAAATTGAAAATTTTGGGCGGAAAAGTAAAAAACCTAATTTTCAAAACATGAAAACAAATGGTTGCTAGCAAATTTTTCTGTTTTTGTATTCGATTATATTTTAATTTTTTTGTTGCTTTTTGTTTTCCACATAAAGTCAGGTAGCACAAACAATGATCAGACTGGATTGAGTTCTATATCATAAAAAGCCCTTTTGGTCGTGATCCTAACCACCTTTAAAAAATTCAAAACAATTTTCACGGTGTCTAGAAAAACCGGTTCAATTTTTTTTGTTTTTGGTCTAATTTCAAGCTAATAAGGTGACCGGGTACGGTTACAATAGCTTATTTAAGTTTAATTTCAGAATTGAAAACCTAATTTTATTCAAGTAAAGAAAGTTTTTGGAGTTTTTTAGCATAATTTTTAGAATCAAAAACATGAAAATTCCTAAAAGAATTCCTCAAAATAAACTTGAAAAACGTTTGAATTTTTAAATTTTTCTGTTTGTTTTTCTGGTGTTCAAAAACTGTTTTCCAGATTACATATTTTCCTATGACTCCCAAACATGCCTAAATTCTATTTTTTTTCTCAGATATTATTATCACCACATGCAGAAAAAAAACGACACGAATTTGAAAAAAATTGTCGTGTTTTTTTTGAGACTGTATTTCTAACATTCTGTGTTACTTGCACTGTAATCAAGTGTTTTTGTTTACTTTTTGATTTGATTGATTTTCTTAATTGCGATCAACATCTGCTATCAAATCAAGTTCTAGGTTTTTGTTGGCAACTTCTCTCACCGCACATTCCGCAGATACCGCAGTTTGTAAGTAACTTAAAAAAAATTTCTGCGTTATTCGATGTTTCTGGCCCCTGCCAAAAAAGCGATGAAAAGTATGATCAGCATGATAATAATCAATTGTTTTCCGGCAATTCCATTGTGGGTAGTTCAAAACTTCACAACCAGTCCAACAGTTTTACTGCCTAGGAGAGTACCAACGCACCTACAGGTCAGATCACAGGTGTCTCAAAGTCTAGTAAATATAAAATGATCATACGAATTGAGCCCATGTTTGAACAGGGCGAGAACCGCAATTATTTGCAAAACTTGCTATAGTAATTTTGGTAGCAGACAAAGAGCAGATATTTAGCTATATATCTATATATATATATATATATATATATATAAAAAGTCATTTTGGCAGATTTTGGTGCGCAAAATAGATAAAATTATCAATGCGCAAATACCGAGAGTTCACTTCGCAAATAAGGTTTAAATAATGTTTTTAGCGACAAATGAAACTAAAATGAGAAAAAATTACTAAAGTACAGCTAAAAAGCAAGAAAATCTGGTTGCTCGAGAAACATTTTTGGCAAAAATTAAGAAAACGTTTTCATCTAATCATATTCTGGAAAAACCGAGTTTGATTCAATTTCTAAGGACAATAACTGGACATTCTTTCAGTACTGATCTTTTTAGCATAAAGGTAACGAATTCACTTCGAAATCGTCAGATCGTGTAATCAATCCACAGCCACGGCAAAGGGAGTGTGTGAGGACGAGCTCTCACTTGATCTTTAGCTTAAAGTCTACCACAGACTGATTCATAACGGCCGCAATAGTGGTACCACGCGAAAGTTCTAGACGCAAAAAAAACGGCCCTGAGTCGCAAAAAAAGCTTCACTCAACAAAATAATTCAGACTGAAATGTGGGGATATAAGAGAAACGGACTATGCTGAGACAAGCTAGCTAGATACCTTTTCATGGATCCTCTGCAAATTGCAGAAACTCCAATTATCAATTATTTACTATAACTTTTTAAAAAATTTTCATGCAAAATTCAAACTTAAGAAAACTCTTTTTTATGACTCCAGCATTACTATTTTCCATTCCTCATTTCATAACTGTAGCTGTTGAACTGCAAAATGTTTGGCATCATAATTAGCTTGTTATTTGAAATAATTTTCTGCGTTAGTTTTTTCTGAGATTTTGAACTTCAATAAGAAAACCATGGGGATCAAATTTAAGTTTTTTTATGAAAAGTTGTAATATAAATCTTTATTTGATTTGATTTTAACTTCTATTTTTTAATTTAGTAATCTATCCTAATGAAGTTAGACCCATTGTAACAATTGAAGTTTTGCAAATTTTAAGACATCCAAATTTGTTTCTCAAAGAAAACTTGGCTAAATAGACTTTTGCCAAAATGTTTTTAACCATTCTTAGCTCTGTTAGCTCAGATTACATTAGCATGAATCATCATAGCATAAAATTGGGAAAGTCTTTATCAAAAAATTCACCGTAAAGCAAGATATTTTTGGGCATTTTTCGCGAGCAGCGCAAAAAAGAAGAATGAGCGAGTGAAGCTAATGACTAAACTCTGTAAGAATTTAATCAAAGAAACGTTAAAATTTTGAGAGAAATAAGGTCTAAAAGCTATATTCAATGTTCTCCCGGCACCAAAAACCCAGGATCTCTGGAAAGAGACTTGATTAATTATATGAATTTTATGTGACAAATGCGTAAATTTTTGAAAATTTTTTTATCAATCCAATCTCGAGTATGGTTGCATTGAATTGAACTTCTTGTCTGTCGCCGGATTCCAAAAAAAAATCAAATTACAAAGGTTAAGAAATTGGAATCGGAATACACGTGGTTCAGCTTCAAACAAATTTTGGCTAGAGAGCAAAAATCTGGAATTCAGTGACAATTTCGAGTTTTCAAGTCAAAAATGAATCACGCTGTTTTGAAATTTTGGACAAACAAAAACGAAGATTTATAATTGAAACGAGTTCTTTTAAAAGCTGGATTCCAGAAGTTTCGAGCCAGCGCATTCTTTTCAGTTTAACGCAAATTTTCGAAATCAGGTGGCAAGCTTGTGAATCCGTTATTGAAATGCGGAGTTCAAAAATATGCTGAGGATTTGAGCGAAAACTTTGATGTTTGCCAGCCAAAAATGGATCTCGTAAAATTATACCAAAGGGAGGACCCTTTGGAAAAATTTGGCAATCAGAACTGAGGGGAGGGGCGACCACTCACCCCTGGCACGCTACTGAAAGAGGCGTCTTTGAAAGATGTGTCTGTGAATTTCAGAAGCGATTAAATACACTTTTGAGCTCTGTTATAAAATTGAGCGCGGCGTTGTAAGGTTTTTTGTTATTGTTCCGACTTTCGATACGAAAGTAACGGAATATTTGTGCTCGGGGTGGGTTTTTTTTCTTCAGACAAATTTCGACTTTTTAACTAGCGATTTTTGACGGATTTTTTTACATCATTCAAAAGGTATTGTTGTCTTGAGCTTACATTTGAAAAAATTATTCAACTGTGATCATTTTTCGTAAAGTTATTAGGGTTTAAAGATTGTCATTTTGACCAATTTGGGACAATTAACGCGCGATATATTTCACGCTATTAACGCGTAAGCGGAGAGTTAATCCGTCCTAGAAATCGTTCCAAATTGGTTTACCGAAGCTTACTTGCCATAATTGATTTAATACAAGTAGCGAAATCTATCCTTTTGTATTTTATATGGCGTGTGGGGGGATGATTTTCATTAAAAAAATTTCAAATTTTAGAAAAAAAATGTTCGTTTTATTTTATTTCATTTATTTTTTTTATGTTATCATTGCTGCTCCATAAACCTTAAAGGCAGTCGGAACATTCAGGGCTTCGCCCTGATACGAGCAGTCCTGTTATTTTTTTTCTCCTAATTTAGTCAATTCAAGCCATTACCATAGTCATGGGAAACGTTTTTTCCCCTTCCATAAAGATAAACAACTTGAAAAAAAATCATGAAAACTACTTTTTTTAAACTGACAATTCATGTTTTTAAATAGATCTTGTAAAAATTATCATCTTGACTTCAAAGGCTTTATGACTTTCTCTGCTTCAGCCTTTGCAGAACTTTAAAAGTTTTCAAAAAAATAGTAATTTCATAGAAATTTTATTAAGTTTCAAATTCACCCAATTTGGACATTTGTTTAGGCTAAACAATTTACTTCACTTATTATTTATGAAAAATTTTTGTACAACAAAATTGTTTACTTTTCTGGCCATGTAATTTGATTACATTTGATTGCATAGAAGTCATTTATCTTGGCATCGGACTGTCACGTAAACGTATTGAAAAAATGAGGCCCAAATCACAACGAGTGCCTCTTCTAACATTATCATGAAAGTGCGCACTAGTTTAAGCATGCACACTTACGTTTGGGGAACAATTTCAGCTCCATCTGCAGCAGGTGACTGATTTGATGTCTGCTCTCCACCCCCGCCCCCCTCTCCCTCTGCTCCGTCGCCTCTTTTGTTTTCTCCCGTATCCAACAGCAATCCCCCCTCCATTTGGCCTTCATCTGCGCTGCTCTTTTTCTGCTCCATATCTGGAAGTTGTTCAAATGAGAACTTGATAAAATTAAGTATCTGTGATAAGTGAAAGTAACAAAAACACCTCTGGTTTAATTCATAACAGAGGCGTCGATGTTTTACAATTTTCTTGCCTCCCCATCTGATATGGTATATATACCATTTGAGAACTGAGTTTGCGTTTTTACGAAGTGGTTGCTTTTAGTTTCATGTCTGACTGTGCTGCATGTTTGGTTGTGGAAAAAATCCACACGTGCATTTTGCAGAGATCTCTTTTGATAATCCAGTTTCAGTAAATCTTTTCTTCACTTCAGGGAATTTGCAAAAAAAGCTGAAGCAAAAAAAAACAGCTACTTTAAAAATCAGAGAACGCTTTGATACATTTGCTGATGAAATCTAAGTCGAAGTCTATATCGAGCTTTCCGCGTTGCCGCAATGAAAAAAAAATGGGTAAACTTTTCTTTGTGCTGTTTTTTTTATTGTCATTCAAGTTAAAATGAGTGGTAGTTGCCCAAATCTAGGAGTTTCAAAAAAAATGGAAAATTTTGTCGACCTTTTTTATTTACCCAAAAATCTGCAACGCACAAATTCTGACGAAAGTTTTTGCGCCGCAGTCAAGTTTACGAAAAAAAAACAGACAAAAATTTGACCAAAACAGCAGAACGATTACTACCATTGCAATCAGCAAGGGTATTGCATCCGGATACTACACTTCTTCAACTCGCATATATGAGATTGTTACAAATTACTCTATTCATTATGTGTTTCAAATGATTATGAGATTGTGTTTCAAGTTCTTCTGTTAGACGGTTCATCCACTAGTGAAAGAACTAACATACGAGCTTTTCGGATTTTTGCAAAGAACCGCTGTTGTGACACTGCTTAAGATATACATACCGTTTTTTTGGCCATTTTTCTGGATTGAGTAATGTTGCTTCACCCTCAAGCAACGAGCACAATTCATGGTGGACCTCCAGCATCCATCCTTTCGATTGAGAGGCGAAGACGTAACAATTTCATCACCGCTCCCTTTCACGACCGATTATAATCAGTCAATTTAATCAACGACTGATTGTGATTATTAGGCGACCAAGGCTTCTGGAACCAGTTTAAAACTAGTATTTATATCCAATTATTTTATTGATAAAACTATCTGTATAAAATACTTCTTACTAACCATTCATGATCCATAACTAACACTTACAATAATTTGTAATGCTGAAAGTATTTATAGTTTCAGCCAGAACAGAATAAAATTAACTTAGCAAACAGTTGCTCATCTCCAGAACAGTTCCTGATATCTTATCTCGCAAATGTCAGTATACATTAGATCTTTTGAGACTAGGAGATATAAGAGCAAGATTAGGACCGGTATTAGACTAAGAAGTTCCACGAATCTATCCGGCCGAAAAAAAGATGGCGTGACGAACAGACGGTGTACCTTATCTGAAATTACTCTCTGAGTGAGCCAACCCGGACTTAAACTCATCTGGTGCGACCAAGATCCGAATCCACACCAAAAATTAAATTTATCAAATGCATTAAATACCATGTGATAAATTCAATTGGATAGTAATCCTTGACGCCGCACGAGCAAAGCTAACTCCCGGTGAAAGCGAAAAATTTCCGATAATTTCAAACAACGTCGAACAATGTCCGGTAAATTCGAAAAAGTCGAACAAAATCGAACAAAAACGAACAATGTCCGGTATAGTCGAACAAAGTCGAGCAAAGTTGAACAAAGTCGAGCAATGTCCGGTAAAGTCGAACAAAGTCGAAATCGCACACTATTCGACTGAAAAAGTCAAAAACGGACGACGTTCAACCGTTTCGGTCGAATCATGAGTCAAACACCTCAGCCCGGGAATTGAATTTAGTGTGCCAGGGTTTCATTTAAAAAACCATAGTAGCATATTTGAAAAAAAAAATAGAAATAATTAAGAAATTCAACGATGGCTTTCAAAGTCAGAACAAAATGAGTCCTTGCGGCACATTTTGTCACGAAACTTTTGAAGTCCGTTTTGCACTCAGTTGCTCAAAGTGTTTTTTTTATTTTGTCCAATAGCTGTGATTGCTCTCAGCATCCAAATTCGATTAAGCAGAGATTCTTCATTGAGGACTCAAACCACACATACACAACAACAGGCCAAACAGACTTTTATAAAAACATATAGCCGCGATTTACTTTATATTTTGTTTTTTATCAGCATAATATACGTTCTGTTCTCTACGACTAGTTCTGCACGCAGCTGTGCTTTTTCAAAGATTGTCAACAAGACAGAAGACACATCGCAATCATCTTCTCAGTCTTCTCCCATCAGGTAGATAGCTGAGTGTTTTATGGTTATGGACTCCAATGCCCATTAAAAACCCAGTTAGTTCATCTGCTTTAACTTCTTTGGAATCTGTTTTTTGAAACTTGACTGAGAAAACAACCTCTTTATAACAATTGATAAGTTTTATAACAGTCAACTTTATAGATAACACCCAGCAAAAGATCTGGATAGATGGACTCTAGTAGTGACGAGGAGGGGGAGGTGGAGGTTAAGGAGGAGGACCCCGCACAGACATGGCTCAAACTCACCCACGACTGGGTCAGGTGCAGGTGAGAGAAGAGAAAATGATAGCAACTGAAACATCAAATTTATAATCATATGAAACAAGATTGTTCAGCTGTAGAGCAATTAGCACAGGATTTTTGTAATTACTTGTTCCCATTACAGTCATCATTACAAAAAAAATTTAGAAAAAGTATTTTTACAAGCGTTATTTTTAGAGAAAGGAGGTGAATTGATTTTCTTGAAGTATTTAATAAGACATCTAAGTAACACAGAAAGTTTATGTTCAGTATGCAAAAAACGTAAGTTTGCGGTAGTTAGAAACATTACGAATATAAAAGTTTCGTAGTAAAGATGTCAAGAGTTTCAATTTCGACTCATCCGAGAATTCAGGACATTTTACCTGTCTACTGTAGGGCGGATGAGCCTGCAAGAATGTCATATTTACTATTAATTAAGCTAACTACTATCGGTGACAGCCCCCTAATTAAAGGCTCCAACTAAGCGCACAGCCAAGTAAAACATGATGAATTTTGCCATTGGTAGTGCATTTTTGATATTGGCTATTCAATCAAAAGAGAACGGCATGGTCCTGAATTCCAATTGAAAATTCAAGCAGATAAAAATATGGGCCAAAAAACTAAAAAGATGGAACTCATATTCTGTTGAACCCATTTTCTTGTCTCTGCAAAGTTTCACTTGAGACTTAATATCAGTTTTGTTATTTGAAAATGTCCGCCATTTCGGTAATGATAGTTTTAAGATAATTTTGAAAAAAAAAACATACAAATTGCTATACAAAACGGCAAAATATGTCTGGAGAACAAAAACCAACAAAAACACAAATAATCCGATTTATTATTTAAGAATAGGTTTACAAAAATGATAAAGCAACAGAGCTGATAATTTTTGAATGTTTGCCGCTCCAGATACACAAATTGTCTATGCAATCTTGGTACAGTTATCGGCGCAGAGAGCCGTCGCGCCTGAAACATACAAACGCAGACCCATAGGAGCGGGTGGTTTTTAATGTAATGATGCTCATTTTATTAACAAAACATTTGGTGTTCTGCAGAAACGGGTCTGCGAATAAGGGTTTTTTTACGGTGAGAGAAGATTCTAGTTGATTAAATAATTCTCTGTTTTGTTTTTCTTCTCTTAGAGCAGTTTTCATTTAAAGTTGCTAAACAAGTTCTTCAATTTGAATTGAGGATGATGTTTGAGCGCACTTTATTCTTTCAGCATCAGAAATAGAAGGACATGATTTTTTTCCAATTCACTGCTTGAAAAAAATGCTGGTCGTCAAACCTATTTAAAATGCTAGTCATTTTCATTAATTCAAAAAACTAATTTAATATTCCAGTTCAAACTAAAAAATTTGTTACTTGTACGCAAACTCCGCAACATGGTCGCTTCTTTGTATTTTTAGGGCCGCTCTTTTGTTGTGATATTGCGACTAAAACTGAGCAAATTGAAAAACTTCTCGTTGAACCCAGTGAGTAACACACACCAAAAAGTGCGACTATTCAGTACACAGCTTGGCCTCGTTATGATTTTCAAATAAAATAATTTTTTCACGCAAGAAAAAAATGAAATTTTGAGGAAATTATTTCGTGCTTATTGATTTTGGGTTTTAAGACATGCTGAGGACTCTGAGGATAATTTACCAGCCAGACCAAAAACAGTGGTGAGCAAAGGAATTAAGAAAAAAAAGAAGAGAAAGAGAAAATTCAAGTCAGGCAAGCATTGATAATCATAAACAAGTAAAATTGACCAAAGTTGACAGGAAAAACATGCAAATGTTTATAATTAACAGTGATTTCATTAAAAATTGCCTGAAAAGTTTCTTGTAATCATTTTCGTTCAACGTTTTTTTTTAGTTTGGTTCCCATAAAATTAACTCAACCAGTTTTCTGTTCGTTCTAGGTGAAAATTCTAGCAAAAAATTGCAACGCCGGACAAAGTTTTGAGTGTTTTTAATAAACCTTTAAGGCGGACAAAATCAATAGTTTTAGCTCATTTAAAAAAAAACCAGCTATCCCAGTTTAAAATAAGCAATAGCTTTCCTTCAGATTTTTTAAATTTTTTTATACCACTATAGGGTTATTTTTCATGTTAATGCATGTTAATGCGTAAAAAGAAAAAATTTCCCGCCTCAATGCAATTTGGTAGAAATTACTTTGCAGCTCAAAGTTTTGAAACAAGTATTATATATCGCGTGTTAAGTATCTCAAAAAACAAAATGACAAATTTTCAGCCCCCACATTTCAACAAAGATAGATTGCAGGGATAAATTGTTTCTATTGGTTTTTTTAATTTAATTAATTAAGGACTTTTCAATTACAAAGACTTTTTTCATAAACTTTAAAAATCCTATATAAATTTCTACATAAAAAATGTAATTTTTATTTCAGGAAAAATTTGATTCTTTGTGTAGCAATTTGTATGGGATTTTAAAAATTTACCAAAAAAAGTCTTTGCAATTAAAAAGTCTTTAATCAATTTAATCAAAAAAACAATAGAAATTATTTATCCCTGCAATCTATCTTTGTTTAAATGTGGGGCTGGAAATACTCCCTCACTTTATTCGAAAATAGGTTTATTAAGTAGAAAAGTCGACCGAGCTGATACATTTTGAAGGTTGGCCGCTCCAGATACTAGAAGTGCCTATTAGATAATTGTACATTGTTTGGCACCGAGAGCCGTCGCACCTAAATCACCAAACGCCATAGCAATGGCTTTTTGATATAATAAGCACTTTTTAGCATGAATTTCAGTATTGCAAGGAAACGGGTCTGAGTGTAGGAGCTTGTTACAGTTATAGGAGATTCTAGTTAAATGAAAGTTTCGAGGCTTTTTGTTTTACTGTCCCTAGATCAGCATAAAACTAAAATTTGTTATAAGACTTCTATAAATTAGGCTCGCGATGATGTTTGAATGCACAATAATATTTCAGGATAAAAGGTAAAACTATACAATGTTTTAATACATTTCCATTGATTTGAAAAAAGTGCTAGTCGTAAAATCTATTGAAAATGCACAGAACCTAATAAAAAATGCTATTTATTCAATTTATTCAATTCCATAACGGTAAAAATCATTTCTTAGAATTTGTTACTTGTTAAGCGAATTCCGCAGTAAGGCCGCTCCCTCGAATCCTTCTTTGGTATTGTAATTGTTTTGATCGTGCCAACAAAAACTGAACATATTTGAAAGCTTGTCTCTGAATTCCAGTGACCTAGACACAGCAATCCAGTGCACAGTTTGGCCTCGTAATGGTTCTCAGACAATTTTCTCTCCTCGAAGTGGAATAACAAAAGTCAAGTTATAACTGTGAAAATGTTAGTGTTTTGCTTGTAGACATGCTGAGAAAGTGAGGATTCAGCGGGTGATCTACCAGCCAGGACACAAGATAGTGGTGAGCAAGGGGGGCAAGAAGAAGAAAAAGAAGAAGGGGAAGACAAAGCCAAAGCCAGGCAAGCACCGAAAAATCATAAACAAGCGAAAATTTCTTTCACCTTTTTTTCGACTTGATGCGCCCATATTTGACTCATTCATCCATCATCATTTTCTGGGATCAAACTCTAACGAAAAAAAATTGTCGTACGCGTACGTATCACTTTAATGGCTTGAGCGAAAAACAGAACAGGACAAAACTTCAACCGTTTTTGGCAGGGGCGGATCTAGGTTTTTCTCGAGGGGGGGGGGGCAGATTTTAAAAGAATTTTCGAAAATTATGACGACCTTTTTTTGTTTTTTAGGTCGAACAAATTGATTTTCCGAGCTCTCCTAAAGCACAAAAATGACTCTGTTCTGGCCAAATTTTCTGCGCCGTAAGCAAATTTTTGATAAAACAGGTCAAAAAAGCCGTTTTTGACAAAAAAAATCGCGTTCTTTAACGCGCGCTCCCTCTCAAAAATTAGTATATATTGGCACCGAAGGCGCCTTTAGAAAAATTTTAGGGTCGGTGGGCCAAAAATGGATTTCTTAAAAAGTACCAAAGGGGGGACCCTTTGGGTCGGCAGGTGGTCGAATCCCTGAAGGAAAGGAGCGTCCCCCCCCCCCCCCCCCCCCCCCAATCCGCCCCTGGTTTTTGGGATATCCATTAGTTTTTAAAACTTTTTTTTGAATGTTTTTTTTTGAGAATTCAGTTGTTTGAAAGTGTTTCTACTTTTAGGCGATCTGACGCGGTGGTGTGTTCCGACTGGAGTGTACCACGCATACCTGCCGGAGGAGTGTGTGAATGAGTTGTACGAGGGCAGCTCCCACGACCACCTCTCTCTGCCCCCCTCCTCAGTCACGTGGTCACTCTCCGACAAGACACAGGGACTCATGTTCTTCCTCACACAACTACTGCCCACACACAAAAATGTAACTCACACAACCAAACAACACTCGGGGCAGGGGGGGGGGGAGGCTGTAAAATGAAGATTCCTTTTAGGATTAATAACAAGTGCATCATGTCTACAATATAGAAAGACCTTTGCAAACACTTCTGTCCCATTGAGGGTCGAGGGAGATCTGGAAAAAAGCCAATGTTTTTTAACCATCTACTTCATGTTGGCCGCTTGTTGATAACGGTTCGACGGTTCTTTCAGATTATTCGTTGGACATAGTTTGACCCAGTCACGCGCCACTGAGACGCGACTTAACCCAAAAGATAATCGTTCTTTTTTTTTTCTTTTTTTCACGTTGTGATTTAGGACCTGTTCGGCTTGACCAAATCCTCCTTCTATCTGGCATTTGCTCCTGGCAAAAAAAGACTCACCAAATTCAACACCTCCCAATACCAAATATTCAAAGGTCAGTAGAAACAAAAATTTCAAAAAGATACAACCATTCATGATGGATCTTTTTGAATTGCAGAAAAGTGCTCAAATTTCATAGCTTTTTCGTGTTTGGATTCTTTTCTGGGTTCAAAGAGCGGCTATTCTCATGTAGAGGGAACAACTGAGTTCCAACTGATGAAAAGAAAAAGAATCAGAGTCAGTAGAAGTTCCTATTTGCTGAATGGTTTTTGTAGTGAGCCGAGATCAAATTTAGCAGAAAAAGAAATAAAGCACGCACAGTGTGAGCAGATATAACAAATTTGGTGTTTTGTTTTTCGAATTTCTTAAATTGATATCGGATTTTTCCGATAAATTTTTGATCTGGCAATGTTTGAAAATTCATTTATCTGCAATCTGCCAATTTTGTAATGCGTCAGTACTAATTTTTATGGCCTGGGTTTTTTTTGCTTTCTTTGGGTTTCTGATTGGTTTAAAATGGATGAAAATAACTTTCCAACATTCATTCCCTCCATCACGAGGTAAGCCACCGGTTCGAAGTTCTACATGATGGGGTCTTCTCATGATCGAGGCACCAAATTATGGAAAACTTTTAACCAATCCGAATCGTTAGACATTCCTATTGGCTTAATGACTTGTACACGAAACCGAAGTCCTTATTAACAGAAAAGAAATTATAGCAGCTGTAGTTTCCAATTTTTCCAATGTTTTTTTTGCAAGATTTGAAAAATCAAGTATCTGCCTACTTTTTTTATCGGCTTACACGAATTTAATTTTTCTGGATTTTTCTAATTCTTTCGCAATTTTTTTTCAGGTTTTTGAATACTCAATTCTGATTGGCTGGCAATAGCTGAAAAAAAAATCCAACATTCGGTCTCTTCATGGAAGTCTGCATGATCAGAGGTAAGTCTGTATGATCAGACTATAGCCTTTACACCTCAAAATCTTCATTTTCTGAGGTGTGAAAAGCTACTATGATCATGTTCGGTGGCGCCCTCCATGATGGAGGGACTGAATGCTGGAAATTTATTGTCAGTTATTTCAGCAAATCAGAATTAATTTTAAATTTCAGAATTAAAAGTATCAGAATTAAATTTCAGGCTATTAAATCAATACTTACCGATTATCAGCAAATTGTAGATACGATACATGGATTTTCAATCATTGTCAGATCAATGAAACTTTAGAAAAAACTACAATTTTTCACAAATACACACACTGTTTATTTAATTTATTGAATCTGCACGCACTGTGCATGCTTTATTGCATTGTTCGGTCCCTTCATCATGAGAATGATCCCCATCATGGTCCCTGTTTTGTTTGGTCTTCATCAATTCAAAAACACGAAATCACAAATTAATTGGTGGCCAGTCAATAAGCAGAATGGTCTAAGAGCAGAATGGGCCCAAGGGCAGAAAAACAGAAAAACTTTAATTTTTATAAGCTAATCGGTAAATTAAGCATACAAAGCGACATTTTTACCAAAGAAACTTAATTTAATCGAGATTTGTAATTTTTATAAGCTAATCGGTAAATTAAGCATAAAAAGCGACATTTTTACCCAAGAAACTTAATTTAATCGAGATTTGTGTTCAAATTCATTATAAATTTGGATAAAGTTATTCAATTCATGCATAATTTTTTTCATTTTCTTGGTATTATTGAGGATTCTGATAATTGTTTTATCAATTAGCCCGTATAAATCAATAAAAAATTAGCAGTTTTCTGTTTTTCTGCTCTTGAACCCACTCTGCACTTGGAGGATTCTGCTTATTGCCCCGCTTCCAAATTGATCTACCCGCATCCAGTTTCAAGCGATTATATTACGATTTTAGTACCAGTCTTACTAAAATTGAGGAAAAATCGATTTTAATCAATTAATAATCTATTATAATCTCTCTTTTTAAACTTAAATTATAATTACTTATAATTCATTACTTAATAATAATTAATTATGATTATTATCCTTTTTTTTGTCCATTTTGTCTTCGAAGTTGCATGTAAATTGCTTATGTTTTATGCTTTTTGTAGACGTTGGTTTCTATGAAAATCATGAAAATTTTTTAAAAAGTTTTCCAGTTAATTCAATTTATAAGTTTTTTTTTCATTTCTTCCTCATTAGAGTTGTTTTGTGATGCATATTTTAAGCTTTTTTAAACACCAAAACATCAGCAATTTACTTTAGTTTCCGATTTATTCATAATAATTTGGAATATGAAAGGATCTCCATGAAACTTTTGTTTCGTGCTAAAACTTTGTGTTCAGATGAACCAAAGTGTTCAAGAGGTCTCTCTCTTAGAGATTTTCTTATCGACACAAAAATTATAACCCATAAGAAATAATTCGAATATAGTTTTTAATTGACAAAATTTCGGCAAAATAAGAGATTATAATCGATTATAATTGATTATAATTGATCTTAAGGGTTTTTTTTGTAAGAACTATAATCAATTATAACCGATTGTAAGAGACTATAATCTCTTGAAAAAAATCACGATTATAATCAATTATAAATCCTTTAAACACCTAATTTTGGTAATTATAATCAACTATAATTGTCAAAAAATCATCATAATAATCCGTTATAATCGATTACTTACGCCTAAACTTGGATGCGGGTATTATGAAACAGCGACACGCGTGCTTCTGGTACGTAGCAATTAGTAGACAACCGCGTATTCATACTCCGCACTAATAAGACAAATACTATAGTAACCAATCAGAAACTAGATAATGGCAAACTTACGAAACTATTATATTTTTTTCTCAAGTTTCCTTTCTTTTCTCAATTATGATTGGTTAATATCGTATTTGTCTAATTACTGACGAGTATTAATACGCGATTGTCTACTTACATACCGCACTCCGTCACGCGTGAACTAATTGCGTATTCAATGTAAATACATAAGAACTAAAACAATAAAAGATGGGTTTTTGGCAAAGGAAGACCAGAGTATGTCTGTGTGCGTGTGTGTATGTGTATGTGTGTGTGCAGAATTGGCGTCTAAGCACGACGATGCAGCCCCCATGTTGTTCCTGGAAATGCGGTGGGTGATGGTGGTGCCCTTCTACTTTGTGCTCACCCTCTCCATGGTGCACGACCAGACACAGGCCAAGACATCCTCCTCCTCCAAGGGTGCCAAGGGCAGCAAAGGTGGCAGCGCCAAAAAGGTACAAATCAATCAACTACCCAATGTATGAGAGACATGTCATGATATTCTCTAGCCTCGTCTCATTTTTCCTTATTTAGTTTCCTAAAATGAACACGAAGGCTGACCCGTCTGCTTAAACTTACACTACACGTAAACTCCAGTATAAAACCAACCCCATATTTTAAAAACTTTCTCTCTCTGACTTACCCATCAAACGAAACCAAGTTAGTATCTGGTGTCACGTCTTTGGTTGAAGATTTTTAAATTCCAAATGCTTCATTTTTAAAGACTTAATTTACAAGATTTTTAACTACAGATTACTTCCCGGAACCAAAGCACTATTAACTTCCTCTAGCTTTCAAACTATTTATCTGCGAACACCACAAATCTGACTATTTGCAACGCCCTCACAGTTAATGAAACCAATAACAATCGACCTCCTAACCAATTACTCACTCCAACTCATCAAGGAACCAATAACTTTGGTTCTGAGTTCGAATTTTCAGCCAATTAGAATAGAGCGTTTTACATGAACTTGATCCGCAAAATCTTCCGCTCTCGCAAAAAATATTTGCCACCATGACCAGCCAAGGCCAATAAAAACTTTTCAAAGCTACCGCAACACCTATTCAAAAACAATTGCGAAGGCTGCAGCATTATGCACCTTTGAAAAAAGAGGGTCTTCGCATCGAACTAATTTCAGTGCGTTTCTTAAAATTCAATAAGTAGTAATTATGTTGTATAGTCTTATGGAAAACTGATTTCTATTTAGTCATGTGGACGTAAAACTTTGTGCTGTTGATTTTCAACAATCTTAAGCATATAAGCTGCAAACAACCAAAGCATATCCAAACTATTTATGAGAATTGGATGTCGATTCGCTCACCTGTATTTTTCGATTAGCTCACCAATTTAGAAGTTATATAAACATCGAGCAACGCTTTTGTTTTATTCCAATAAATCTGAAGTTAAATTAGGTAAAAGTGGTTGGCAGAGCTGCGAAAGAAAGGTTTATTTTTTGATATTTTGACACTCGCAGCCAGGATCTCCCTTCTTATAAAATGAGAGGTGTCTTTATAAACAACTTAGTATTTGTGAGGATATTGTTTATTTCTTGTGTTCTAGTCCAAAGCGAAGGAAATCGACTACAGCGGAGTGTTCGATCAGATAGTGAAGAAACTGTGCAGGACCATGAAGCTAGTCCACAAGTACCATCCACAGACACCGGAACAGTCCTCTGTCCAGGAGGGCAGTCACAGAGAGGGGGGCGAGGAAGGGGCAGGTGGAGGGGGAGGGGGAGGGGGAGGGGAAGGGGTTAGTGTGAATAAGAAGGTGAGGAGTTGTATGTTCAGTCAGCCGAAGAAGAAGAAGAAGCAGAAGAAGAAAGGGGGATCGGGGGAGGAGGATGTCCTCACTCTCCCCTATGGACTGAGCATGGTGGAGATGACTGTAGTTCAGCCCCTCAAAACAGGCTAGTGCAGAACAAACTAGAAAAAACTGCCTCTATCTCTCTTTTTTTTAATTGCTTCATAATATACAGTTGGACTTATTATTTTTGTTCCGACTAGTATCAAAATGGGGAGGAACTTCGTATTGGGGTGTTTTAGTTTTTTTTTCAACTTTTTGTTTTCCACTCAAAATCAGGTACCACAAATAATCATCGGATGGGGGTTGAGAAATATCATACTAAAGCCCTTTCAGTCAGGATTCGAACGACATTTAAAAATTTCAAAAAAAATTTTCACAGTGTCGAGAAAAACCGGTTTAAAATTTTTGATTTTTCGTCTTAATTCGAGCGAATAAAGCAAGCGAGCAGGCTTACAACAGCTTAATTAGGAGAAATTTAACATTTAAGTCCTAAAAACTTAACTTTAAGCAAGTAAAACTAATTTTTGGAGTTTTGTAGCTCCATTTTAAGAACCAATAACTTCACAAATTAGAAAATTTTATGCAAAAAGAAACTTGAAGAAAAAATTTTGAAATGGTTTTTCCCAGCGTCGAGAAAACCGGTTTTGATTTTTCGTCCTAATTCGAGCGAATAAAGAAAGCAAACAGGTTTACAACAGCTGAATTATTTGATTTAAAAAGCTTTTTCTTGTGCTACTTGCTCAGTAACCGGCTATCTTTGTTGCATTTTGTACTTACGTTGTCAGCCTTTACAAGAAATAGTGAATTGAGCAAAAAAAATTAAAATGAAAGAAAATTTTTTTTTTCATCAAAATGATCTTTTTTATACAAATGAGTGTGTTGGGACATTCTGTTCTGCTTTGACAGCAACTGGTAGTTTTTTCCAATTTTGATTTTTTGTAGCAAAATAACAAGGCGAAAGGTACAAACTTTTAATTTAAACCTTCAGGCACACAATTCCAGTGCAAGCTCGATTGCGTTGTTAGGACCAGAGACAATAATGTTAGTACCGGCAAAAGTGGAAAACCCCAAAATTCCTAAACATTTGAGTTTATAGATTATTGCTATTACCTGTAGAACTATGAATGTCAAATATGCCTAAAATATAGTTTTGCATCAGACTTTTCCCCCCACGCGGAAGAAACGTCACTGATTTGATTTAAAAAGCTTTTTCTTGTGCTACTTGCTCAGTAAACGGCTATCTTTGTTGCATTTTGTACTTACTTTGTCAGCCTTTGCAAAAAAAATAATGAATTGAGCAAAAAAAATTAAAATGAAAGAAGTTTTTTTTTCATCAAAATGATCTTTTTTTATACAAATGAGTGTGTTGGAACATTCTTTTCTGCTTGAGCAGCAACTGGTAGTCTTTGTCCAATTTTGATTTTTTGTAGCAAAATAACAAGGCGAAAGATGCAAACTTTTGTTTTAAACCTTCAGGCACACAATTCCAGTGCAAGCTCGATTGCGTTGTTAGGACCAGAGACAAAAGTGGAAAACCCCAAAACTCCTAAACATTTGAGTTTATAGAGTATTGCTATTACCTGTATAACTATGAATGTCAAATATGCCTAAAAATAGTTTTACTTCAGACTTTTTTTATCACCCCATGCAGAAAAACTGTTTTGAAAAAAAAAAAACTTTATCTTTTAGTTTTTTTTATAGATTATGATCGGAACATTCTGTGCTACTTGCACAGTAACCGGCTATCCTTGTTATGTTATGAAATTATTTTTTAATATGAAATTGTTAATTTTGGACTCATTTAATTGATAGCGGTTTATTGGATACCTGGTTGTTGGTTGAAATAACGGTTTAGCCTGCATTGACCTAACATTTTGCTAATGAATGGGGACAGGGCACGTTTTCAAAAACTGTCAATTTTTTTCGAGAAAGTTTTAACTCGAAGGAAATGATTCTCGGTTTCTGCAAAATTCATTCATCATTTCTCTGCTGCGCTTAATTCAATGTCTTTTTAGAAAAAGTATCACAAATTGTCTTTTTTGACAACTTTTTGACTGTTTTTCAGTTAAGTCGAGTAAGTTTCCGATTGCCACTGGAACAATTTGATCTTACATAATTTGGTAATTATGAAAAATATTTGACTGTAGGCAACGTGCAAGTGACTCAGAGACCCTTCTCTGGCAAACAAGCACAGCCACTGAGACACACTTCGGATGGTCAGCCGGTGGAGGACTACTGGAGGGCCATGAGAGAACTGCAGGGCAGTGACAGTCTGTCAATCATGTCAGCTGCAGACAGAGAGAGCAGGAGACAACTACAGGAAGAAGAAGAAGACTACGACGAAGACGACGAAGATGATGATAAAAAGGAAGAAGGAAAAAAGAATGAGCCACTTCCTATGGATCAGGACAGAATCGGAAAAGAAATTGTTCCTGTGAAACAAAGTGATCAAATCAAATTAGAGGAGTGAATATTTCAGTGATAGAATGATAAAATTTGCGAAAGTTATTATTTGTCCAAGCTCGTATTTTATCAACCACCAAAAAACCAAGCAATTGGAAAAGTTGTCAACAGATTGGGCAAAATGTTTCCCATATTCAAATATAGAAGAAAATATATTGCGGTGAATCATTTAACATTCTTGAAAAAAAACACAAATGGAAGTCTTGCAGGATCTTTCCAAAATGCACCAACAAGGGCAATAATTGAAGCATCAAATATATTTAATAGCAATTCCAAAAAATTGAGCTTTAGCAATTATTCTAAATTGCGAGTCCAGTCTTAAACTCACGCAGATTTTATGCACCGAAGAAAAAGTTTAAAAAAAAAACAACCATATTTGCGAAGTTTTTCGTTATGTCTTTATCCAAAGTTCTTTTCTAATTTCAAACAATTTTTTTCTCATATTCAACAAGCTTTTCTTCGTTCTTCTGCCAGAAATTTACTCAAGCCTCTGGGCACTTTGATGGTGCTCTTGATCGTCCAGAAGCAACACATTGACCACCCCGAAATTGATCCAGTCCAGACCGGTCGCTTGACCTTTGGGTCGCTTCTGAAGCCACACTTCTTTGCTTTGCATCGAGACCTATCGAATTGAGACTGGGAGAACGACGGGACTCTAGGGACATTTCTGGGAGTAGTAGGAGCAGGCATCCTGCCTCAACATCACTCGAGAATGAGATGAGAAGATTGCTCACGCCTAAGATTTCCGTGAATAAGTCATCTTTGGTAAGTGAACAAAAAGGAGAAAGGAAGACCGCGGACGGGCCTTGTGAAGGCACCATTTCTAAGACTGGATACTTGAAGCGACTGAAAAAACTAAAGTTACAAGAGATGTCGTTCAGACAAGAGCTTATGAATGCGCTAGAGATAACAGGTCTAAAATATGAGAGCTCGAGTGACCATTATTGTCCGGATTGGCTGAAAGTCCATGAATTTCATGTGCTTTCAGCCAATCCAAACAATTAGGGTCACTCGAGTTCTCATATGTTAGACCTGTTACCTCTAGCGCATTCAAAAACTCTTGCCTGAAGGACATCTCTTGTAACTCCAGTTTCTTCAGTCGCTCCAGCTATTTTGATTTAGATGTCGAGCCTTTCAGAGCTACCACTGTAGAGACTGCTGAGCTATGAGGATTGCCATAGAAAGCAACATTTGGCCCAGTCAACGCTAGAAAACCCAGAGGAGCGGGAGATCGAGGGGCTATGGTAGAACCTCCGAAACATAGGACAGTTTGGCAAACAACCGGATAGCCACTCCCACCCAGCTGAGGATGACCGCTAAGTTTGTGCACCAGCGAATGATGGAACTCCCGGACTCAGCATATGCAGACCACAAATTGACCCAGGATACTCGATATGGAGAAGAGTTTGGCGCCTTCAAGATAGCAAAGGTGACGACAGTCTACGACCGACAGAACTCTGGTGCCGCAAGAACAATTATCCTTGCGAGTTCGGACTTTATGGGAATTCGAATAAATTGTTTTGGCCTGAGACCCCTGCATGTCCGTTTTGGCGGGGTTAGACCTGAAACAAATAGTGACTTTCGTGGCAGCATTTAAGTCTAAAACCCAGTGTGGACAGATGTTACTCCTATTTGCTGGCATGAACGATCGTCTAAATGCTTCAAAATGCTTCATGGGACTTCCTGAAGTACTCAGGCATGAACTGCTTCCTCCAAAGAAAATCTGAGAGGCAACCCACACAAAATTTGCCTTCATGTTTGAAAAACAGGAACTGGTCTAATCCTCATTTGCTTCAAAAACCCAGAGCAGGCAGCTTTTTAAAACAGAGAATCTCCCTGGCAATACAGATTGCGAACGCCGCTTGCGTACTCGGAACAATAAATGACAAAATAACTTTCGACGAAATTTTTTTATTTGTAACACTTGTATATTATATTTTCTCGTGTCGAGTTGCGTGTTCTTTTTGAAGAAACGTAACCCGTATCAATTTTAATTGAAAAGGATTTAAACACTTGTCATCTTCTTTTATCAATATCACTTCCATATCTAGAAAATTCCAAGGATTTTGACTGGAATACGTGATGAAGGGACTCATGACTGTAACCTCGGTTACTATGATACTTTTGACCTTCTGATTACCTTGTTTTAAAGAAAAAAAGATTAAAAAATTAAAAAAAAATAAAAAAACTTTGGTTTGATTCAGCAAAATGTGAAGTAGCTCCAGAGAACGAAATCCAAAAAAATTGGACGGAGCCCATTTTTGAAAAAAGAAGTTACTCAAATGATTTTGAAACTTGAAACTACAATGTATTATCTACTTTTTATCATCATAATTTCAATATCTAGAATTTTCGGAGGATTTAGACTAGATAATGTGATGAAGAGACTCTGACTGTAAGCTCGGTTACTAGGATACGTTCGACTTTTTGATAAAATCATCGAAACGATGAAAAGACACATTAAGGAGAAGCATCATGCGTTTCTCTGCAGTTACACAGATATCATGATTACCTTTGCGATAAGCAAGGCGGTTACAACCGGGTCCTATACTTTTTTTCATAAAAAACTTTGCTCTCTGGATGACAGAAATTTTAGTCACCTTTTGAGCAGGTTTATTGTGGATTGTAATTTTACTACCTCCTTTTTCATTATATATATTTTTTGTTTTCTCTTTCTTTCAATTGTTGTGAGCTCGCAGAGGACACCCAAGGAGACAGGCTTGAGCGATGATCAGTTTTGAAACGAATACAGTTTTTTAGACGGGATCAAAGCCATAAATGCAATTCATCTAGAAGGGTATTCGGATTTTACCCGCATTTACCGAGAAACGGGTACGTTAGGATTTGGTCGACAAGGGTATCGTCGTCAGTTAGAGCGTAACTAAGGCACACATTTGTTTTGGTGTCTGAAAAGACTAGGCAGCCTGGAAGAACCACATGGATGGAATAATTATCCGAATTATTGTTGACTGATAATGAATTAACACTGATCATGATTCAAGGAAACTCCAATTTGATTCTCTAAGTGATGGACTTAAGACGCCCGCTGTCGCGGTGAAATTCAAATTTGAACCATCTCACCGCGACAGCGGGCGTCTAAAAATGTATCTATTAGAGAATCAAGCTGAGGTTTCCCTGAATAATGAACAGTCTTGTTACGAAAGAAAGTTCGCCAGTTCATGCGACTCGAGGCTTCTTTTCAAGTATTTTAAATCCTTTAGAAGTTCGTCTCCCCTACGAATCCAAACTAAGTCCTCTAAAATCCAATGGCGTGATAAAGTTGCTTCAACTCTATCAGAACAGTGTGAGCTTTTTAATACTGTTTCCCAAGCGTCTTCACCGCAAAGTCTACTTTGCCAAAAACAACCGAGTTAGGGAACAAATGGTTACTGAATACGACATGTCACCTGCAAAATTACACAGATTGTTGCCAAGTTGGTTATGACTAAACCAAGTGATCAGACGATTTGACACCGGTGCTCTTCAAGAAAGCTTCACACGCTCTTGGCATTTCAACAGGAAAACTTTTCTCAAAATAAATCAGACAAGAGTTTAACCGGATGAATGGAAAAATTGACAAAATTACCCCGTTGTTCTAAAAAAGTCTCGAAAGCGGACGTAAGAAAGTATAGACCGACAGCCCTCCTCGACATCCTATTAAACGTTTATGATAAAAAAATTGATGGTAAAACTTTAGGAGCATGTCAGAAGTAGGATTCCTCGGTGTCAGTTTGGTTTCCAGAAATGACGCTCCCCTATTATCCAACTTTTCTGCTATCTCGACGCCATTTATAAGGGAGTACAAAATCCAAACGTCTTGTCGAAGCTGTCTATTTAGATTTTGCCAAGGTTTTTGACAAACTGGACCACAGTATATTGATACAAAAAACTCAAAAAAATGGTGTCGTTGACCGCCTACTCAAAATCATCACCAGTTATCTTATGAATAGAAAACAGTTTGTATAAATTCGTTCAAATTGAAGTTTCTCTAGGATACAAGTGATGTTCCGCAAGGTTCACTAATATGTCAGCTTTTGTTCCTGATTTATGTACTTGACATGCTTGATGGTTTGAATTCCGTTGTGTATATATATTCGCTGATGACACAAAGCTTCTCAACTTTAGACATGATCGATCCTCATTATTTCATCAATCAGATCTTGAGGTTTTCGAGAAGTGGAGTAGTGAGAACAGAACGTTCTTCAATATCGATAATTGTCACTGTATATCGTTTCACAGAAATGCTGAAAAGCCTGATCTCAAACTAACCGGCACAGAGTTATTAATGGTCATATCAGAAAAAGATCTTGTTATATTGATATTTGGAAACCTGAAGTGTTCCAAACATATCGATTTTGTGTGTAGAAAAGCAAACAAGGTATTATCTATGATAAAAAACTCAGCGAAAAATTTCCAAGTAAGAGAAATTAAACCTCTTCAAGTCTATGGTTATACCATATAACATATGGGAGCAACGTTTGGTATCCAAGCAGAACCAATCAACGAATACTCGAGCAGATGCAACGCAGAGCCACCGAGTGAATTTTGAATTTCCCGGCAATTTCATACCAAGACTGTCTTCACCCTCTGAAGATTTTGCTTTATCTATGCACCTACAGGTCAAGTTTTTGACGTTTTAACACTCAGTAAAAGTTTAGATGGGAATTACGATGTTCCTTGGGAAGCTTACCTTACACCCTACCATCAGTCATTGTATCCAACCAGCACCTCGATTCGCAGACTGTTCCATTTGCCGAATGTCCACTCTACGTTTTATATGGGGATTTCTGGCTGAGAACTGCTCGACTGTGCATTATTATTCACAGCCACGTTTACGCTCTGGAGGTCACCCTTGAAAGGACAACTCTTACGCTTTTTTTGGAGTTTTTTTGTATAGTTTTTACGATGTTAAGAGACTATGTACGTGGACTTAAGCGTGTTAAAACAGTAATACTTTCAAGTTGAAAGGTCTTTTCATCCTTTGTCTCGTTTTAGTCTGAAAACCGGAAATGCACATAAGACTTTTGTAAAAAGTTTTCGGAATTTTTGGATACCTC